TCAGGAAAAACTACCTATAACGCAGGCCAGTCATAAAACATTTCAGACATAGTTATTTATAAACAAAGTAATACTTTTCGTCTTGCTGTACACAGTGTGCAGAAATGATTCTGTTACCTTAAATTTCTTCAAAATTACGAGAAACGTTTTAGGCGCAGTGAACTTCTAACTCGGGAAATTTAAATTGTCTAATTTTCCCCAAAAATTAATGACACTCAATATACTTAATGACACTCGCACATCAACATCGAGGCAAATAGTGAAAGACCCTCCGTCACATTAAATGGGAACTGTTGTTGTGTCTAAGAATTTTTATTTACTTGTGAAAGTAATACCTCAAGGCATTTTTTTTTAGATAGTAATATTGCACCGCCGAAACGCAATGAAGGAAATTTACATTGTACAAGTAGTAGTGGATCAACGCCTGGAATTGCAACCGAGCCTCCAGCCTAAGAACCCGCCATCTACTTACATAAATCGTCATCCATGGCCCCGTGCAGTTCCTGGCGGCGGCTGCTGAGGCGGGCGTGGGGGCCTGCCGGGGCGTGACGTCACGCCGCCTGGGGCTCCGTTCCTTCCGCACGCCGCGTCGCACTCAGCTGTCGCACAACGACAAACGCCGCTCTCACCCGCCCGGACCACTCGCGCCGCCGCGTCTCTGGATGCGTTTAAATGACCTCGGAGACGCGCGCGGCGCGCCGCCCCACCCCTCGTGTCCATTGTCGCGTCCGAGCTGCTGCAACGAGCCCGATACAGCGCCGCTGAATTGATCGCCCCATTCGCACTTTTACTCGCCTCGCTCTGCTTACGCGAACAAACAGAAGCGGGACGCAAGGGACGTTGTCTTTAGTAGTGGCTTTTGAATTGGCAAGGGAGCTTCTTGCCCCGTTTCAAGTGACTTCAGGCACCGGCGCTCGACGATGGATGCCGTGAAAAATTCACACGCACGAGACGTCAGCTGCGGGCGATTCGATGACGGCCTCCAGGGTAATTTCTGGCGATGGGATTTAAAAAATTACTAAGTTCCAGAAAATTAACCCGAAAGTAGTAATGTGCATTCGGAAGGGTAAGTGAAGAAGTTGAAGTCCATTCAGGTAATTAAATTTAAAAAAATATTATTTTTAAAAAATTTACTTTTGTAATTCTTTGAAAAAACATATTACTTTCAGTTGATTTTTGGAATTTTCTCATTTCAATCGAATGTATATTCTTTTCATAGAAGAATAATATTTTCATAAATTCCGCGATATCTCGGAGTAATTCGCTTTCCTCTAAAACCCCTCGCAGAACATTTCTCGCCGAGAGCAGATGCGAAGAAACGGCCTTACGCTACTTCACCGGCCCGCCTAGGGGCGCCAGGTGTGATTCTGTGGGTGGTGATTGAATATTTGATCGGTTAGTGATTCCGAGCGCGTTATTAGTCCCGTATGTGTAGTGCATGCTTTTATCGCGGGAGGGTAACGGCGATCTTCCCCCTCTGAGATCCGGCGCAGACCTTCGTCGGCTTATGGGTTTTCCCCAACCAGCTATCTCCCTCCAGCGGGGCCACCGGCCCAGTGGGACAAGCTTTAAGCTCCGAAATGCATTTCGTAGTGTACGTAAGTAAGGGATGAGAATATGACAAGGAAGAGGAAGGAAATATCGCGGGCGGTGTGTGGCCCGTTTGTTAGGGCCACTGCTCCGGCATTCCCCTAGTATTGATCGGAGAAGAAACCAAACTAAAACAAAACTAAAACAACGGACAAGTACGAATTCTTCTCCAGGCAGCGGATGAATTCGACCTAGCTATGTAGCTAGTATCCCGCAACCGTCGGGCCTCGACCGCTAGGACCTTCTTGTCAAAAGGCGACTGCAGTGGCATCCATTGCTGGCACCTCGGTCGGCGCAAGCCACGATGAGGCGGCCAAAGCCAAAGAAGCATCGAGGTTGTGGCGCGAGAGGGGACAGCGATGGAGTGCCCAGACAACATGTGGTTTACGAAACTGAGTTGGAAATTAACTGTCGTGTGATTGTCTGTGGCCTGTTGTTCCTATCGGTCGAAAGGACGCAAAGACCGGCGAATGTGTGGAGTGAGGGGAAGATGAAAAGAAGGGTGTGCCGAGTGATGTCTCGAAATGTAGAAGCCGTACGTTAGGAGGGTCGGTCGAAATACGGAGACGCAAAGAAATGTCGCTTCGGTCCCGGCCGCGGAAAGGCATTCCTTTTGTCCTAAGGACGTACGTTCCATTCCGACCGTCAACGTCACCTCCAGAGCCCTTTCAGTCCCCTCAGCTCGGTTGCAATTTACTTCAACGGGAACTTCAGACCCATGCCTGTCACGTAGAGTGTTTTGCAATTCTGATGTAATTCACAACATTATTGATTTCTTGGCGAGTGAAAAACCACAAATTCTCCCAAAAAGTGAATAATGAGTATTGACCCAAAATTCCGTCATCCAAAATTGAGAGGACTCATGAGCCTTAACAACACTCATCATTACGCCAAACTAAACATACTAGTCAAAGTGACAATATATTAACTCTCAATGCCGGAAAAGGACGCAATAACCACGACAAGGTCGGAACGAAAGATAGCCGCGTGCGTAACGTTTTATGAAAGTACCTGCCCGGCATTGAACCTGATCGGAGGAAACCACAGAAAACTTTGATTAGAGACAGTTCGGCCGCTAGAATTCTCTTCGGGATGCGAAATTCCGCCACCGTCGCGACTTCGAAACGAGAGGGAATGGGGGCAGGCGTGGGCGGGCCGCACCCCCCGACATCTCCGACGCGCGACGTCCAGCCTATTCGACCCGACGCAGGCAGACGCGCACCCGCAACAATCCTCCGAACCTCGATGTTAGGTACTTGCTCCGGCACGCCATTGCGTGTGATCGGAGATACCACGCGGAAACTAACCGATCAGAGCAGCCGCCGCATGAGACATTTTCCTTCCAGCCGACTGAATTCGACCTAGCTAAACAAGCTCATATCGAAACCCTGCTTACAGTCAGGACTCGAAACTAAGGACCTTCGGTCAGAGGACTGCAATGACGCAGTGGATGCCCTGAGCCGTCTTTCTCGGTTAATGACACAAGCAATCAATTGTCGATCTATAACTCAACCATCGGTCATTGTAATACAATAATTGATAGCAAAACACAAATACTGTTACATGTATCCATTATAACTTGTTGGTTGCGTGGTGATAAGCAACATCGTTGCGGTGGGTTAAACAACGAGCGCGTGTTGCCATCTCCCTCATCAGTACACAAAGAGTAAATTTGCCATCCACTTAACAATCTTTTAAACAAGTACATATTCTCAAAAACCATTGGCAACTCACAAACTGTATATTGGGTACACTGAATTTGGTTTTGAATGACAAGAAAACATATCTTGGAGTCAGTAAGAACCAATTCTTACTTAGAAGTGGATGAAGCAACTTCGGGCGGTGGTCAGATGGCAGAACGCGTTCCACGGGGCGCCGCCTGAGCGAACGTTTCTCGCTGGGAAGCAAGTTAGCAGAGAACGCGGCGCTCAAAACTGACACTTCTATCCCTTCTTAGGCCCACTCGCCTGGCGCATCTGCCCCGGGCAGCTCACACACAACTTCGGGACGCCCCAAGCCTACGCCACCGCCATTGTATGTCAACACTTTAGTTGGACACAGCGCCAGGACTTGATACCGCCAACTAATAAATTTTGATTTTTTCTTCTCTGTTTGCATATCGAAAATATTGAGAAATATTTCAGGAAAGATTAAGCGGTCACGAAACAGAATAAGTTTATTTTCAATTGGAACCACCAGAGAATTTATTTCAAATTCATGAAAACGTTCGGCCAAATCAAGACAACACGCGAAGTTCAACGCTGATTTTCAATACACCCGTTGGATAAGATCATCACTCTAGAAAGTTAAACAATTTCACACAAAGAATTAAATCACGAATGCCTTTCTTCAACTTCCATCATGTAATCTCAGACAGTCAACCATTCAGCTTTTGCTAATCTAATCTCACGGTGAGTGCTCCATAGGCACACACCCATACGTAAAGTTTGAAATACGCAGCCTTTCGAGAGCGTGGTGAGACACTGGAAGCGGGGCATACTTAGAGCCACTAAAGAGAGCCAAGCGAATCAAGTAGTTAAAAGGTTTTTTATTGGCATAATTTTTTTATAATAAATATATCCTCTAAATAATAAATAAAAATGGAAATATATATGTTAAAAACGACAGTTAAAACAACCATAACATTATGAAACATGAAAATATTAATGTCAGTGAGCTGCCATATTCTTCCATTGTAAGACCTGTCCTAAACCTAGTTGTATTTATAATAACAATAAAATAAATAATTTAGTAAATAAAATAATAGGAAGTAAATAATAATAATTATATGTATTATTAAATTAATAATAATAATACTATAATAATAATAATAATAATAATTAATAAATAATAAATAATAAAAATAATTAGAATAGAAGAAGAGGTGAGAAGAAGAATTGTAACAATTGTAAAAGAAATAGCTTTAAGAAAGTAAAATAACTGAAATTTAAAAGCCACGTTTTAATGATATGTAGTATTTAACCAGCAATAATTTGCTTTCCCCACCCAGTTGAATTCGCGTTTGCAATTCCGGGAATCGTCGTGAAGGGCTCGCGTTTATCCCGCAAGAAGGACCCCCACTGCGGGGCGGCGTCGTATTAGTCCGGCCTAAACAAAGGAAGCCCCCCATTTTTTTTCTCTTTTCCGTGTTCATCAAAATTACGAGAAACGTTTTAGGCGCAGTGAACTTCTAACTCGGGAAATTTAAATTGTTCAAATTGTCTCCAAAAATTAATGACACTAAATGTAACCCAATGACACTCGCACATAAACATCGAGGCAAATAGTGAAAGGGCGTCCTTCACACTGAATGGGAACTGTTGTTGTGTTTAAGAATTTTTGTTTACATGTGAAAGGGAACAGCTAAAGACAATATTTTTAGAAGGTGATATTGCGCTGCCGAAACGCAATGAAGGAAATTTACAAGGTAGTATTGGTACAACGCCTGGAATAGTAACCGTGCCTCCAGCCTAAGAAACCTCCATCTACTTACATATGTCGTCATCCATGGCCCCCGTGTAGTTCCTGGGCGGCTGCGTGAGGCGGGCGTGGGGCGGCCTGCCGGGGCGTGACGTCACGGCTCCTCTTCAGTCACGGCCGCCTTGGGCTCCGTTCCTTCCGCACGCCGCGTCGCACTCAGCTGTCGCACAACGACAAACGCCGCTCTCACCCTCCCCGCACCACACGCGCCGCGCTCTCTGGATGCGTTTAATGATGTCGGAGACGCGCGCGCGCACGCCCTACCCCTCGTGTCCATTGTCGCTTCCGAGCCGCTGCAACGAGCCCGATACAGCGCCGCTGAAGTGATCGCCCCATTCGCACTTTTACTCGCCTCGCTCTGCTTACGCGAACAAACCAGAAGCGGGACGCAAGGGACGTTGTCTTTAGTAGTGGCTTTCGAGATTGGTAAGGGAGCTTCTGCCCCCGTTTCAAGTGACTTCAGGCACCGGCGCTCGACGATCGATGCCGTGAAAAATTCACACGCACGGGAGGCCAGCTGCGGGCGATTCGATGACGGCCTCCAGGACGCAAACGGCGTTATTGGAAAGGTCGCACCACAAACGCGGGTGACACGATTCCACAGACCGAGTGTTGATGCGTACTGCTGGAAATCTACATTAAGAATTGCGTAATTCTGGCGATGGGATTTAAAGAATTGCAAAGGTTCCAGAAAATTAACCCGAAAGTAGTAATGTGCATTCGGAAGTGGTAAGTGAAGAAGTTGAAGTCCATTCACGTCATGAAGATTTTAAAAAAAAATATTATTTTAAAAAAAATCACTTTTTGAAATCCTTTCAAAGAACATATTACTTTCAGTTTGATGTGTAATTATTTCATTTCAATCGAGTATATTGTTTTCATAGAACAATGAATAATAATATTTTCGTAAATTCGGGATATCTCGGAGTAATTCGCTTTCCTCTAAAACCCCTCGCAAAACATTTCTCACCGAGAGCAGATGCGAAGAAACGGCCTCACGCCACTGCACCGGCGCCGCCTAGGGGGCGCCAGGTGCGACTCTGTGGGTGATGATTGAATAATTGATCGGTTAGTGATTCCGGGCGCATCAACTGCCAAGGTCGTTGGTCCCGTATGTGTAGTACATGCTTTTATCGCAGGAGGTGACTGCGATCTTCCCCCTATGGATGGTGAGATCCGGCGCCAACCTTTGTCGGCTTGTGGGGTTTTTCCCAACCAGCTATCTCCCTCCAGAGGGGCACCGCCCATTCGGAACAAGCTCTAAGCTCCTGACTGATCTCCGAAATGTATTCGTGTACGTAAGTAAGGGATGAGGATATGGCAAGGAAGAGGAAGGAAAGAATGCGCGCGGTCCGCGGCCCGTTTGTTAGGGTACTGCTCCGTCATTAGCTTATTGTTTATGGGAGAAACCACGGAAAACTAAAACAACGGACAACCACGAATTCTTCTCCAGACAGCGGATGAAGTCGACCTAGCAATGTAGCTAGTATCCCGCAACCGTCGGGACTCGAACCCTAGGACCCCCGGTCAGGGGCACTGCAGTGGCATCCATTGCTGGCACCGCGGTCAGCGCGGGCGGAGTGGCTGTGGAGGTCGGCGCAAGCCACGATGAGGCGGCGATGAGGTTCTGGCGCGAGAGGGACAGCGATGTAGTGCCCAGACAACATGTGGTTTACGAAACTGAGTTGGAATTAACTGTCGTGTGATTGTGCGTAGGCCTCTTGTTCCTATCGGTCGAAAGGACGCGAAGACCGGCGAATGGTGGAGTGAGGGAAGATGAAAAGAAAGCTGCGCCGAGTGATGTCTCGCAAATGTAGAAGCCGTTACGTCAGGAGGGTCGGGTCGAAATACGAGGACGCGAAGAACTGTCGCTTCGGCCCGGGCAGCGGAAAGGCATTCCTTTCGTCCTAAGGACGGACGTTCCATTCCGACGTCAACGTCACCTCCAGAGCCCTTTCAGTCCCCTCCGCTCGGTTCCAATTTTACTTCAACGGGAACTTCAGATCCATGCCTCCACACGTAGTAGTATTTTTGCAATTCTAATGTAATTCACAAAATAATTGATTCCTTTAGAATGAAAAACACAAATTCTCCCAAAAAATGAATAATGAGATATCACCCAAAAATTCCATCATGAAGATTGAGAAGGACTAAATGACCTTAAAACACTCAACATTACGCAAAACTAAATATTTACTTCAAGTGCCAATAGATAACTCGCAATGCAAGGACGAAATAATCACCAGTGCAGCAAGTTAGTGTAGTGTTTGTGTGAGCGTTAAAGGGGACGAGATCGAGGAAGGACAGATAGCGCGTGGTACGTTCATGAAAGTACTGCTCCGGCATTGAACTGATCGGAGGAACCACAGAAAACTATTGATTAGAGAAGCCGGCCGCTAGGATTCTCTTCCGGATGCGATCCGCCGCCGTCGAGGCTCGAACCGAGAGGGAAGGGGGGCAGTTGCGGCGTCGTAGGCGGTGGGGCGGGTCGCGGCCCCGACATCTCGACGCGCGACGTCCACCTATCGACCCCGACGCACGGCAGACGCACACGCAACAATCCTCGATCGATGCGGGCGGCGCCAAGAGCGCTCCTGCCCCCTCCTCCACCATCACCACCTCGTCACGACCAGTCACTTCCCGCGGAGGAGGGAAGAAGTGCCAGGTTAATGACACATATGACAGATCCATGTTTAGTGATTACGGGCACGTCTACATCTACCAGGGTCAAGTGTAAAGAATGTTTTGTTGTTTTTTTGCTCGGGAGCTGGCGTTGATATTCCCCCGATGTACGTCGAGGTCCGGCGCCGACCTGACGTCGGCAAGCGGGGCTTTCCCAAACCAGGTATCTCCCACCAGCAGAGCACAGCCCCAGCCGGGACAAGCTCTTAGCTCCTGGCGGGTCTCCCGCATGTGTGGTAGTGTAGTGCATGTGAGAGTAAGTGTGTGTGTGTGTAAGAGGTGTGAACAGGTCAAGGGAGAGGAAGGTGAGGCCGCGCGCGGTCCGTGGCGTATTTGTTAGGGTGCTGCTCCGGCAATCGCCTGGTGTTGATCGGAGAAAGCTCGGAGAAGTACCGATCAGAGCAGCCGGCTGCTAGAATTTTCCTCCAGACAGCGACTGATTTCGACCTATCTTACAAGCTAATGTCGAAACTCCTGCTACCGTCAGGACTCGAACCTAGGACCTTCCGGTCAGAGGGACTGCAATGACCAGTGGATACCCAGTCAATACCCAGCCTGTATCCCACGCGCGCCCTGCCGCCCCCGCCCCCAACCGCCGCACGGCCCCACATCCCCGCATCCCAAGCTGCCCGCTGCTCGCCACCTCACCGCACCCTCCCCCTTCCGCCCCCCCCCTCTCCGCCGCCCCGCATCCAGGCGTCCCTCCACCCCCGCACCTCCGCCGCCTCGCCCCGCACCCCGCCGCCTCCGCCGCCTCGCCTTCCCCGCCGCCCCGCCGCTCCCGCCCCCCCCGCCGCCCCCGCCACCCTAGCCATCTTTTCGGTTTAATACACAAAATTCAGTCATTGTAATCAATAATTTATAGCAAAAACACAAATACTGTTACATGTTACATTAACTTGTTGTTGCGTGGTATAGCACTTCCAACGTGGGTTAACAACGAGCCGGTTGCCATCTCCTCATCAGTACACAAAGAGTAAATTTGCCATCCACTTGACATCTTTAAACTAGTACATATTCTCAAAAACATTGGCAACTACAAACTGTATATTGGGTACACTGGAATTTGGTTTGAATGACAAGATAACATATCTTGGAGTCAGAAGATCCAATTCTTACTTAGAAGTGGAAGAAACAACTTCGAGGGTGGTCGATGGCAGAAGCGTTCCACGGGGCGCACCCTGAGCGACGATTCTCACTGGGAGGCAGCTGCAGAGAACGCGGCGCTCAAACTGACACTTCTCCCTTCTCGGCCCCTCGCTGGCGCTCTGCCCCGGGCAGCTCACATACAACTTGCCGGGGCGCCCAAGCCTACGCCCCGACAGCGAACATTAGTCATCTGTATGTCAACACTTTAGTTGGACAGCGCCAGGACTTGATACCGCCAACTAATAAATTTGAGTTTTTCTTTGCTGTTTGCGTATCGAAAATACTGAGAATATTTCAAGAAAGATTAGCGTCACGAAACAGACTAAGTTTCCTTTTCAATTGGAACCACCAGAGAATAATTTTCAAAATTCATGAAACGTCGGGCCAAATCACGGACTATGACGCGAAGTTCCAACGCTGATTAATATCACCCGTGGATAGACATCACTCGTAGAAAGTAAACAATTTCACACAAAGAATTAAATCACGAATGCTTTCTTCAACTTCCGTCATGTAATCTCAGACAGTCAACAATTCGGCTTCCGTAATCTAATCTCAGCGTGAGTGCTCCATAGGCACACATCCCATACGGTTAAGTTTGAATACGAAGCTTTCGAGAGCGTGTAAGACCCTGGAGCAGGGAGTAATAAAGCAATAAAGTGGTGCAAAGCGAATCAAGTGGTTTAAAAGGTTATTTATTGGACATTATTTTTTAATAATAAATATTATCCTTTGAATAATAAATAAAAATGAAATAGATATGTTAAAAGGATAGTTAAAAATAATATTATCAAACATGGAAATATTCAAGTTCAGTGAACTCCAAAATCTCCTTTTTAGGCTTGCCTAATCTAGTTGTACCTTATTATTATTATTATTATTATTATTATTATTATTATTATTATTATTATTATTATTATAATAAGAAGAAGAATTTTAACAACTGTAAATGAAATTGCTTCAAGAAATTAAATAGCCGAAATTTTATAGCACTTTTTAATGAAGTATTTACCAGCAATAATTTGCCTTCCCCACCCAGTGAATTCCGTTGCAATTCCGAATCGTCGTGAAGGCTCGCGTTATCCCGAAGACGGACCCACTGGCGGCGGCGTCGTAATTAGTCGCTAACAAGAGCTTCTCTCTTCGGAGGTCCACGAAGCGAGAGCACCAGGCCCGGCTGGCCAGGCCGCCGCCGCCGCCCGCCCGCCCGCGATAAAGGGGCGCCCACGTGCGCTAAACATCCGGCTTCAGATTTACCCGGCACAATGAGCGCCCGCCGCACCGCCCGAGCTATTTCAGAGCCACTGCTGAGGGCGGTCGACTGATGGCCCGAGCACAGGCGCCTGCGATTCCGAATTCCACGCAACTTTAAGACATACCCACCGACTCACTTACTCTTTGACGAAATAATTAACGAACTAAAATCGGTTCACGGGATTGGTCAATGTGGAAACAACTAGTTACGCCAACGTCTTGAAATATTTAATTTCTTCATCAGGGCTTACTAATAATCATACAGGTAACGTATCATTTCAAGCCTCCACACCCAACTCCACATGGAGTTGCTGGAGCACGTGGATCCGTCGCGAGACACTTGTGAGTCGGGCCAAGGCTATATTCTTCAATTGTGATTATACAATGGTCAAAATAATTAACATTTATAAACCTTTCGTTATAAACATTGGCTCCTTTTACATGCTTACTGGTACGTTTTTTATTATTGCATCTTATTTAGTATATATTAATTTTTTAACTGGTATTCTAAATTAAACTAAACGAAACTATTATTCGTCAATTGTAAATTTAAGACATTTCAAACATGTTCAGTAAATTTTAATCTTCCGAACATATATTTTAATTCGTCTATTCAACTAGTCACGAAGTTCAGGTTGGTACCGGATGTACAGAATGCTTACCGATTCGCCATGTAAGATGTATGGGGTTCATTTTATAACCACTTTGGTGCTTCACCTATCGATTTCTCTCATTGGAACCTTGTGGTTACCAAACAAGAAAGACATTCTACATCTCGTGGTTTAATACATATTATTGTTCTTTGGCATTGCACTTCATTTTGATTTTGACAAGTTGTGTATGACTATGAATGTTACGTGTATGTACGTGTATGTTAACCTCAAACAGGTACGGGTATTGTTTTAACTACATAATTATAGTTAATCATAGATATTACATTTTGGGAATTTTACTCATATAATTTTGACTAAAAATAATTATTTTAAATGATTTTGTAACACAA